AGTATTGAAATTAAATTTTCTGTCCTGAATTTGTGTACCAAGCATTATAAGAAAGAAATGAACCTCCAAATGATTGATTGCTTTATTTACACCGTCAGTAGATGTGTTTTCATCAAATTTATCCCTCCTAAGTAAATCAATGTATTGATCAATAATTCCTTCCTCTTTTGCAATATCACTTTGCAGCGGTGCCAAACGTGATAGTCTCTCCACTGTACATCGACGGACTACACTAAAAACTTCGTAATATTTATATTTGCCTAATATGTGCCTTTCATATGTTTCATTTTCAAGTTTTAAATACATCAATGCAACTTAAAATCAAAACTCAAAAGATAACTGTCTTAGGCGTAATCCAAAAGAGTTTACCTCTCACACTGCCGAACAGCACAGCCGAAATTGCTTAACAAAAATGAAAACTTTGCACAATGTGCCCACTGCTCCGCTTTGTGACTTTTCGTAACGTGTTCACGACGTATTCCGCCAGATGCAAACGGGTACTGTCAAAATGCACAATTTAAATATTCTTAAATTCAAGAATAGAAATTTGAGGAAAAGTAAACCTGAGATTCACATAAATTGATACTATACATATACAAACAATATCTGCTGATACCTTAAGATGTAATAATTTTATCAACACAGTTATTTTAGCCGAAAGACGGGAGCAACGAATAGTGAGCAGAACTGCATCACCGTCTCCTGAAAAAAACTTTTAGGTTACAAAAATTTCAAAAAGTCAAGAGGAAACTTGTTTACATTTTAACTGACCTCCAGGTTTCGAGAAATTATCAGGCAGAAATGCTTTCAAATAATCTGACAACTCAATTTCGTACTTCAATTCCAGGGCAGACATCTCTCTATCCACGATCTAAAATTATTTGAAAATTAATTTCCAGAAACTGGAAGACTATTTAACAAAGCAAAATTCCCGCAAAATTTAAATTCAAATAGAAATTTTACTTCAGCAAATGTTCGAGTAGCTGTAGTAAGCTGCGTACTTTGCATCGACATTAGGTTGTTATCTTCTTCTCCTTTTAGCTGCTCGTTTAGATTAATGATCTGAAATACAATCTAGTCTGTAATAAATGAGGTTCCGCGCAATTTAATGATCGACCTAAAGACATAAATTGAAAAGGAAAGGGGGGAGTTCAAAAGAAGCTTCAAACTTACTTCATCTTGTCTTTCTTGAATTTCTTCATTCAATTCACCAATTTTTCGTCGAAATTTCATGATCATTTTTTCGTATTCATCCACCTGCTCGCCATATACTTTAATTTGTGCCAAAAGCTAGAATAAGAGCAACAAAAAATACAATTACTCCTTAAGTTTCTCAAAATTTGTAAATCAAGAAATCCGTCATATACTCACATTACTAACACGAATATTTGTTAAATCCAGTTCCTGTCGAAGTTCTTTTTCAGCTTCCTTTTGCGTTTCAAGAATTTCTTCATCCATCGATCTGATTGCCTCATAATCCTCAACGGTTTCTTCTAACGTGCTGCAATTTTCCTAAGATTTGTTTACTGTATTGAAATTTTAAACAAGTCCACGAGATCAGTAAGCTGTATGGATGAGTAAAGCATCTTTGAAAGCTTTTTAATCTTTTGACCAACGAGAAGCCTAGAAAGAGCGATCCAAGTTTAACCTTAGTTTTTTTTCCAAATCCATATTTTTTTCTGTTAGAATTTCAATCATTTTCTCACTATCTGCCGTCGCATCAATCTAAAACGCAAATTTCACAACAAACATGCATTCTACACACAAATATATTACAACCTTGAAATAAATATAATCCATCCTACACTAACAACAAGTTTCGCAAAATATTACAGGAAGAAAAGCACGATTAAACATCACAAGCAATATGCTGCAGGAGAGAAAAAATAATAAGTTTAATATGAAATTTGATAAAAATTATAGTAAAGAGAAAAAACGCATGCATACTTACCCTTTCACTCATATCAACCAACTGCAACAATTATGTGACGTAATAAGTAGAATTTTGAAACGCATACATAAAATAATAGTCGAGATCAGCAGAAAATTTGCACGAAAACTTCGTAAAAATTACCACAAGATATTGAAAATTATATCCTACTAACCCGCTCTCTTAGCACAATTATTGTCCGCTCGGCTTTTTGAAGTTCATTTTTCAAATTTTCACAAATCCTTACTACAGCAGCCGATTCACTCTTCAGCATCTCATTTTCTTGTGCCAGTTCTCTTTTGTCTTCCACTAGCCGACCGATAATATCGCGCAATCTAAATAATAACATATTCCCGATAAAACCTGTAACAACAAAGTCCATACGAATCAATGATGAAATCTAGAATTCTTGAATAACAACACAGAATGAATCCTGAATTGACGGAACTGATTAAGTACCTCGAACTTCAGCCAAGCCTACCTTACTATTGCTTCCCTTAATTTCATATTCTGACATTCCAACATTTTGAGCTGCATCCCGTCATCCTTTAACAAAGCATCATTTTTTAGAGCACCGACCTTGAAATGAACTATGCTTTCATAATTTTATTAACTTATCATTTTGTCCTTTCTTTGATACTGTAAAAATAACACGAAAAATTTTGGTTTACAATTCAATTCAATTTCAGTTCGTTAGTGAAAAAAACCCCTATACATCATTACAGCGTTTAGCAAATACAGCAAAAATTTAGAATGAGAAAATCGAACCTGTGATATACCATTTTTTTCTGGGCCAATTTCACTCCGCAACAAATCCAATTCTATTTCCAGTTGTTGTATACGCTGCTTTTCAATTTCAATTTCGGCCTTCAAAGACTATCTTCTTTCAATAAAATTTCGCTACAAATTCATAATTAAATTCGAGTATTTATTCAAGATGAGTGATTAATTTTAGGATCTCAAACGGCAAAAAAACACTATATTACTGGCAAACAAACCTGAAGAAGTTCTGCCTTCTCTTCAGCCATTTCCTTTTCAATTGTTGTTATTTCAAGTTGTTCCTCAAGTTCTGATAACCGTTGAAGTTTTTCTTGACTTATTTTCGACAAGTCAATCAATTCCTAGATAAAGCCTGCCGTTTGGAATTTTCGAGAAATATTGAACAAAAAGAAATAAAAAGGCTTACAACCATTTTTTTTCTGCCAGTTACAGTTAAAATGCAAAGTACGAATATTTTATACGTGCAAAACCTATTAATTTCTGGAAATTAAAAGAAAGTTAAGAAATTTGGGATTGGCTAATAGATTTCCTTTATCCATTCTTATTTAGTTTCACACTCCAATTCAAATTAACATGTCAAATTTTAGATTTAGCATTGCTTTAAAGCCATAAATTGAAATTTGTAATAAATATCCCCCACATTAATAAATTGTATTTTCAGAGTGCAACAAAATATCTGGTTGGATTTTTCGAGAACAAAAATTTCATGAAAACAAATAAAAAAAAGAGTGATAAAATAATTCAAGTAAAGCTATCGTTTGCTTAAATATCTAGATCATTACCTTTTCCTTTTCCTGTAATTGTCGTTGTAATTTTGAATTGCTTTCAACCAATTTAATTTTAAATTCGCGTAATGCTTCCAATTCAGCAACATTCCTTTCATATTCCGTAAGTTTTGGATAATCATCTTTTCGCTTCTGCCTTCAAGATTTGAAATTTATCAAGCAAAAGCTATTTTAATTTGTTAAAAAAATTGATGAATTCATTTCATACAGCAAAATTTTAAACCGAAGATAATAACAACAATTACCGCTTAGAAATCAAACTGGGAACTTCATTTTGATGAAAACTTTCGCAGAAAACTGTCACCTATATTACTTTTTACTACATGAAAAAATTTATCAAATACGCTACATTTATTTATCTTTGATCTGAAAAGAAACAATTTATCCCATTTTTATGCTCACTATTAAAGTGGTAGTGAGTAATCAATTACTTCAATGTTTCTAATTTTGCCGTCAAATCTTTGTTTTCAATACGAAGCAATTCGATTTCATTCTTATTTTCGTCCATTAAATGCGATCTTAAAATATTTACCTAAAACATGGAATAATTAGCATGCATATGTGAAGATGGAACAAAAATAGTTTTATACATGATTTCATAGAGAAAAGAAAATAGTTTAAAGTAGGTTTTCTTTTTTTTTCTTAACTTAGCCTCAACTACTGCCAGTGATCTCCTTTTGGGTGCAGTGATTTTATTCGTGGAAGAAAGCCGAGTTTGCTACATGGTCAAAAAAAAAGAAATATCAAAATAGCATAATTCCTAGTATTTAAAAGAAAAAAAAAAGCAATGAATGGTGTAAAATAGCAACCGACAACAACAGTATTATATATTTTAAAAAACAGTAAAATCAGTCTCAATCAATCAAACTTGCAAATATTATGAAAAAAAAACGAATAAAAAGAATAAAATAAAAATTTGTTACGATTAATTTCAAACTATAGATAATTAATCAGCTTTGATTATTCGGTGTAAAAAGTGAATAATAAGTAAACGTATACAAAATATAGTGCTTATTGTTCTAGAATGATTTAAATATCATTCATTTATATAATGATATAATGAAATAATGACATTTATATAATGAATGATATTTAAATAATTCTAAAGCAATAAGCAATTAATAAGTTATGACTATCAGTAAGTACAACTTGTAAGGCGTAAAAAGTACAAAGTACAAGTACTGATTTTTACTCACTACTATTATTAAATAAATCTTATATAATGAACATAACTAAAATATAAAAAATTAAGATAAAAATAAGGAAAAAATAAATTTACTTCAATCCTTCAAATGTAAATTGCTAACAAATGATGCTAAATCAATAAATGCAATTTCATCAAAGGAAATAAAATATCCTTCTGCCAAGATGAATTGGTAATGCGTCACATTTGCATCCTGATGACACGCACTTTTTTTCACGGACCGCTGTTGATTAACGTAAGCTGATTTATGGTGCCTTAGAACGGGGAATGCGAGATATGTTAGCATTAGTATAGTATTTCAGCTTAATAGTATGTTCTTTCAACGATCTCTGCCATATAAAACTCGAAAGAAAAAACAAAAATACAAATGAGAAAAAAAAAGAAAGAAAAAAGAGAAAAAAGTTGAAATTGGAAAAAAATTTGCAAAGCATTTATCAATGGTAACCGATTTAATAGCATCAATGACAACGGCGATAGGATTTTTTATTTTTATTTACTTATGTACACTATCTTTTTTCTGCATAATGTTGATGTGACGTTGACATATACAGTGTAACATCCATTCATTATTTATTTACCGGATGAAGCATTTGTACTTTTTGTCCTTTGTTAAACATAAATTAGTTATGTAGCAATTTTGATGCTTTCATGAAAAGTTTATGAATTCGAAGTGCTTTTATTGAATATTAAATATTTTCATTTCAATAATGATATGTTATCATTTCATGTCTGTGCACTGTTTTTATTTCAGTACGCGAAGAAAATCAAATATTCCATATTCGGCTGGTACTAATTAATTTTGGCGGCGGTACTACAGGTACCTCCATCCTGTTAGTAGCAAAATGAACAACATCAATTCTCTTCCGGTATGTTTTGAAATTTCTTTTCGATAGTTATCCATCTTCAAATTCCCAATTCTAACGGTATGAACTGAAAATTTCCATCTGCAATCTGTATAACAAGCTCCTCTTCTCTATTGAAATATTCCTTACCTGCATGAAACAGCGATTCATCGCATAAAAATATGCTCATAAGTCTGAAATTAAATTGTTCTGCAATACTATATGTGAAGATTGCAAATAATATTGTGAATGGTGTTGAAATTTGTGATGTAAATGCGAAATTGATCTAATATTGTGAAATAAAATATTTTATGGATGATTTTTCTGTTCAGATTATTTCGAGATCATAAAATGTAAATCATTTTGGTTCATAATTTTCAGAATTCTCCACGAGCTACTAGTTCACCGGCTGTGTCAGCAAACGCACAGACTACATTTTATAACCAACAAATGCTTCTACAGCAGCAGTATATGCAAATACCATCTCTTTATGGTAGTCAGCAGACGGGAGGAATCGTAAGTTCAATTATTGCAAACTTTTGAATTTTGTGGTAGTATTAACGGCAAATGAAAAAAAGTTGTTCATTCAAGGTTTTCTTTTCAAAAAGTGTTTGGTGATAACTTTGATGATAGTATTTAATAATAATGTTTTGTTTCTTAAAATATTTTTAAAATTTGAAACCTGATTATTCGGAGCAGTAATTATTGTAGTCGAAGTTATTTATTACCAAAAAAACTGGAATAGTATTGCAGATGTTACAGCAGCATCCGATGGATATTCAAACATTCCAACAACAGCAGCATTTGCTACAAGTTATGCAACAACAACAACAGCAGCAGCAAGCATTACAAAATCATCAACGTAGTTTAGGGCTTCATGAGTCACAAGTAAGTTCTAAAAAGTGGATTTTTTGTGTTTGGAAGAAATCTGAAAAGTAATGACAATTTAATAATAATTGGAGAGTTGCTTTTATTTATTATTATTTGATTCCGATTATTTAATTTGTCTTGATCAGTAGTTTTAATACTTTATATGACCAGTATCTGAGCTATTAATTTTATTATGTTCTAAATACTTTGGCAGTTAAATACACTATTATGTTTTTTCGATGGATTTTTGTGACTGAAATTAAAGATTCATGTTGTTTTCTTAGGTTGGAGTTAATAATATCTTTAAATTTGATTGTGAAATCAATTGTTGCTTCCTTGTTGGTGTGGCACATGTTGAATTCTTAGCAGGCAGATTTTTTGATTTTAAGAAATTACTATTAATAATTAGACTTAGGAGAGAGAAGGGGTTCTGATTGGAGCTCTTCAATCATTGTTAGATTATTATTTAACTAATCAGCTGCTTATCAAAGTAGTTTTATTGCGGTTGATTGATTTACCGATTCGCTGATTAGTTTTCCATTAATTAATTTGCTTCTATTTATAGCTGATCACATTTTTTAATTTATTGAGTTATCAAGATTTTGGCTTAATGTCTTTTATGTTTTTTTCCAGACTTTTGCACAACAGCAGGTGGTGTTGCAACAACAACAATATCAGCGTGCATTACAACAAGCAGCGCAACAACAACAAGTTTGCATTTTTGTTATTATTGTACAGGTCTTCAGAATTAAATATTATTGTTTGGTATATTATTGCTCATGCAGACTTTTTTTTATTCTTTTGATCTTCGTCCTGTTTCTAATATTATTTTAAATATTATTACTATTGCCATTCCCTATTGACGCTATTCAATAAAAGTAATAGTGTTCAATTGATTTGTAATACTGATATTAGAAAAGCAAATTTACTAATATCACAGATCAGTTGATTTGAATTCACTTTTCATCTTTAAAACAAAAGTATAGTACATTTTTACTCTCATATGACATGATTTGATATCCATTTCTAGCAACAAAGACAATTGGAACAACAGCGTCTGCTGGAACAACAACAACGGCAACTTGACCTCATGCATCAGGAGCGTGAGGCAGCTCGGTTGAAACAGCAGCAAGATGAAGTTAGTTTATTAATTTTTGAATGATCTTCCGAATTCTCGTAGACAGAAACATGATAATAAGATTTAAAAAGATAAGTAATTCACTGAAGTTTCTTCAGCTGTTACGCCAGAAAGCCGAAGCATTGGCACGTCAGCAGCAGGAGGAAGCAGCACGTTTGAAACAGGAAGAGCTGCGGAGAATAGCTTATCAGAAAGAACAACAGCTTAAACAGCAACGAGAAGCACATGAAAGATTACGTTTGGAGCAACAACGAATTTTGGAAGAACAAAAGCGGCAGGTAAAAAAAAAAGATTCCTTAATAACTGTTTTGTAAATAAAATCTTAGTTTCTCAGCTTCTAATATCGACGTGTTTTGTTCTTTTGACAAGTACCATTCATGTTCACAAGGATTAACTGGAAATTCCGTGCTGTTATAATACTCCGAACAAAGGTTACGATTATACAACGCTGAATTGGAATGGTTTAAATAAATCACGCTAATTTTAATTTTTAGTCCGATCAATGTAAAATACCTGAAGTTAATTAATTTCGTAATGTTTTGTTTTCATTTCTTTACAGGAAGAAGCTCGAAAACTTGAGGAACAACGCAAAGAAATAGAAAAAGTACGTGCAATACGAGAGCAACAAAATCGAAAGCAACGTGAAGCACGTGAAGCTTTCAACATAATGAAAGAAAAAGCCGACAGTTTTCCCATACCCATACATTTAGCCGGTTGTCATACGCTTACCAAATGTATGATTTACTACCAATTTTGAGTTGTAACGTTTTACTGAGTTTTTATTAGCTTATAGTTACATATCCTGAAACGGATATAATTTACTGTTTTATGAAACTCATCCATTACCATGTCTAATCAGATATTCTCAGTCACTCTGTTACTGTTGGAGTTTACTTCATTTCGGTTAATTTTGATGCGCGATACCTTTTTTTATTGCAATAACCAATAATTTTTTTGAGAATTTAGCCTTTTGGAGCAGACTTAAGAAATTGAAAGATCTTTCAAAATAAATTTTTTTAAATAACATGAAAAAATTTATTACAGTGGTGAATCATTTACCATTTCCGTCTCTGTATTTGCCTTACACGAACAATCTGAAGTGTGAAACCATAAATATACCACGAATCGGACCTACACAGAAAGAAGTCTTGATACAAGCCGTCGAAGCTATTTCACAAATTGAAACTTCCGATGTGTTAGTTGTTATCAGCAAATTTTTTTGTTAAGTGGTTTCTATCTTTCTTTTATAACATAGATTTTGGTTGGTAGACCAATTGTTTCATATTAAGTATTGTTTCTTTTTTTAAATCATTTTATTATGAATGTTCCGCAAGCGTTTGTTTAAACGAAATGACCGCTGTGTTTATCCACTAATCTCTTTTCTAACCAATGCACATATTTATTCATGTAGTTTACAGCTTATTGTTGTATTGAAATAACTGTAATTTAATTTCAGAGTATTGAAACATGAAGATGGTGAAACAAATGATTTTGATATGCATGCGGCACCGTGTTTTGTGCGTGAATTGTATGAAATCAACAATCAGGTTTGAACAAACGGAATGTTATATAACTGTGGTATATCGTTAGAACCTTGCTGTGCAGATATTTAAGTTAAATCACAAAAATGACCATTCATTTTATCATGCTGTTTATAGACAGCTCCATGACCCCCTAACAGATGGATTGAGTAACTGTGTTCATAAATCAGCCAATTTCCTTTTTCTACATTTTGTGATGCTTAATACTATGAATTCAGAAAATCATTTTTTCTCGTTTACTGAAATTTTAAATAATTGCAGGCATTTGACGTTGATATTCCTGAAAATGTAGTGGCCCCTGAAATAATGAATGTAGCAGGCAATCATTCGATGGAAACTGAAACAGATGTAATGGTAATATATTGTTTTATATTTTACTTGTTTTTCGTGAAATTGTTTTTTGAAAATTTTACTTTCTCAAATTACTTTTAATAGTTTATTTCCTCACAATACTAACGCTTGTTTGTTACCTTTATAAAACGTTTGTTATCTTTATAAACGTTTAAATTTTTCAAGGATAAATCAGCAGAACTTCAAGGACAAATTACACTTGTGAAAGAAGATACTGCGGAAGCAAATGATACAACCGAGGTTGAATCACTGAAAAAGGAGGCAGCAAGTGTTTCCGAAATACCTACACCATCTTTCTCAGATATATCGAAATCGACTGCAATACAGGAGGATGAACAGCAAGTTCAACTACGTCGACAAATTGTTTCTCTCGGAAAACAACCGAAAGCTCAACAAATACGCAGGAAAAAGGACATGGTTTGCTCATGAATTGAATTTCGCAATTCTTTCTTCCACCTGGGACCGAATAAAAATGTTCTCTATTTCTTAGACTTTGATGTAATATAGTAGTGATTTCAGAATTAAGTAGCTTAACAAGCATTATTTTATATTAGTTTTTGCTGTTTCGTTTTCTTTCCGAGGAATTATGGCTATTAAAAGTTATAATTCATTTTTGGTGTGAATGATAGGCATCAGTCATGAAGGTCTTTTAATCGAAATAGCTCAAAAAATTATGAGCCACCTCGTTCACTAGTTTTATCTACAGGTTGAATCATTGTTCGATTCTCTAACTGGTTATTTTGATCCAACTGAAGGTCGCCGGCGCCGACAACGAACAAAAACATATGAGGAAGAACAAAACGAAAAAGTTTGTTTCTTTTGCAGTGAATAATTTGAAAATTAATTTGAAACTTTTGTGTTCACTTTATTTTGTTGCACCTAATAATTCTGAATTGCCAAAATAAAGTTTTCATTTTTCATTTTTCGTAACAAAAGTTTGAAATAAATTTTTATAGGTACAAATGGAGCTTTTCGCACAAATGGAGAAAGTAGATGCTAATGAGAAAGAAGAAAGTAATTCTTTTTAATTGACAAGCTGTATTTTTTAATCTACCATAGTTTTAGTAAACTTTATATTTTATGTTTTTTTTTGAGAGGGATCTACGAAAATTGAGCATCGTCCGGATCATGCTGGAACATCTAAGGAAGGATCGATGGAAAATGATGAGAAACCTAAATTTTTCGAAGGGCACAAGAAAGGCCGTAAAAGAGTCCGAGAAAAAACCCTTGACCAACCGGAAAGACCGCCGACACCAACAGAAGGTTTATTATTTGTGAAGTTAATTTGCCCATTTTTTATTCATTGCTCAACCTTTATTAAAGGTTCTTTTTCTTTCTATACCTAGCTACACACTTCGTGAAGAATGACAAGTTTTATGGTAGACCAAATTTATTTTTTCGTATGACATCTCGAATTACAGTGATTCAACAGCGAGAATTAGAGTGGCGTGAACGCCAACGTAAACGACGTGAAAAGCATAAACGTCGGCAGAATGAATCGGAATCTGAATGCTGGAATAATGAAGGTTTATTTGTACATTATCTTAGATTTTCTTCCATTTTTCTTATGTTGTTGGTTGAGACGAATTTATTCATGGCGAAAGTCAAAGATAAAGAAGCTTTTATGCGTGAAAGTCAAAAATAAGAAACTAATAAAGAGAATGCAAATAAATAAAAATACAATTAAACAAAAAAAGCGAAGAAACTGCTATGAATAGCAATCTAGCGAATCTTCTGATAGTAGCGTGGCTTATATAAAAAAATAATTATGCATGTATGGACTTCAAATAAAATCAAGACAGCTTAGACTTAATAAACTTTATCGGATGTCGATAATTGCATAAATCAGATATCTCTAATGAACTCACTTAGTTAAATATTGCAGTTATGGCAGAGAAGGAATCGTATATAAAATTTACCACCATTATTGATCAAATTTTTGAAACAATTGATGAACAAGATTTCGTTCCAAGTACAAATGGTTAGTCCCTCAGGGTTGCTAAGCATGATCTGAAAAGTAAATTATTGGTTGAGGCGAATTTACTACGCATTACTTACCTCATTCATTTTCGCTTCCAGTTATCAATCTTCGCGTAACTAATGTTAGAGGTCTACTTTCGGTTTGATATATAGAAATCTAATTTTTGCCACCAATTTTAGCAGATGATGACTGCGGAATGCCGCAAGATTTTCTGGACAAAGATCAACTCGAAGAATTGCGACAGGAAGCGCAGAAATTGAAGTCATGGAAGAAAATCAATAAAGTATTTTTTAAACTTTTTAGTTGTGCAAAGTTTGTGATTTATAAGAGAATATTGTTGATAAAGAGAAGTAATAGATTAAATTTTTCTTCTGTTTAGCTTTTGAGGTGTTCATCATTTCATTCTTCCTCAGCAAAGGAGTTTTATGTAAAAATATACTTTAGGTCAATCCAGAACGTCTGGTAAAGCTTTTGACAATTTTGGAAAAGAATATCCGTGATATAATCGGCGTAGAAGGGGAACAGTCACTCATTACTCTTTTTAATGAGGTAAATTTTTGTTTCTCCTAAATTTTCACATAAAAAGATAAATTTTTCATTCATTCTACTGCTACATTTTTGGAATTTCCCGTATATGTTCTGATGGTTTTAATAAAATTTACGGGAACGACTTCAATATGAACGTTATAGTCGATTTAGATAAATTAATGGGAATAATCAAGTGCTCTCGATAAATTAATGGGAATAATCAAGTGCTCTCGAATGTTTCAATAAATCTGTACACTATTGTATGAAGTCCACATTTATTAGTTTGATACACTTATTTTTTCATTTTTTTGTAGGACGATGAAGACGATTCAAATGAAGCATATCGTGAAGTAATCGGTGATCGTATAATGCGTGCGGCTGATGCATCTTGTACTGCAATGCTTATAATGACATCTACAAAAATGCCTAAACAAGTAAGGAAAATATTGAGATATATTTTTGTGACACTGAGTTATCACTTAGTATTTTGTAATTTGGTTTTTGGTATAGTTTAAATTATCTTTTCTCCCAGCTTAAGCTAATCCAGTGTATTTTCTGGACGGTCTTTTCTGGATGATCTAACATATTTTGACTGGATAATCTAACATATGTTTTTATTTTTCGATTCTTTCAGGTATTTATTGAAGATCCAATTGATCGTTCCATACAACTCTGCAAGCAGTTTCTTAACAATATTATCTATCCAACATCCGATAGCTCATGTCGTACTTCTAATAAAGGACGAAAGAACGGTAACCATAAACTAGAAAAACAAAGTTGACATTTCAGTTATAGACTATTGTTCTATTTATTTTAGCAGTTCTATTTGCAGAAGATAGGAAACGAAAAAGATCTATAAGTAATGCTCGATCCCGTATTATCAAAAACATTTACACTCGTGTTACTGAACTTGTCGGATGCTTTGCTGAGCTTGTAAGATTTTTTTTATTAAAATTTGGGAATAAAAATTATTTTTCTGTTGCAGGTGAAGGTTTCAGATTTTTTATTCTTCACAAAAGATTGGGAATATTCAAATAGAATTTAGTTTATTGTTCATTTAATTGTTCCGAATATAAAATTGTTAAATTACAGTTTAAGTACTCTTCAGTTTCTACTTATGAAATAGACTCAAAATAGCTTTTTTTTAAATGAGGATCCATTTATGAAAATTTCAGGTTCGTAGTCAGTCCCTAACAGACACAGCCGTCCTGCAGCTGTGTACTCTGGCATCTGGACCATTCTTTATAGATAATGTTGGTGAATTACAAATGCAATCCATCAAACTTCTTTCGGCCATTTTTTCGCGTTATGAGAATTTTCGAAAAAGCATAATTCAAGTTAGTGACTGTTATAATCAGTTCGCTTCTTTACTTTCCAGTTATTAGCAAAAAAAAATTTCAAATTTATTTTCAAAATTTTCAAGGATTTGCTCAGTTCTGTTCATCGTCTACCTCCGATAAAAACATCGAAAAATAGTTATCGTATGACTGCTGACGAATGGATCAGTAATATGACTGTTCTTATTATGCAGCTTGTACAAAGTGTTGTGAAGGTGAATAATAAATTGCTTTTAATACTTTATTTTGTCCTGTTTTCTGTAAAAAATTCTTTTTATTATACTGTCTTTGACTTCAAAGGAAAAGATGACAAGAAAATTAAAAAATTGTCTATTGTTGTTAGATATTATATGTTTGCTTGGATTAAATACAGAAGAAAGTAAAATATTTTAATAAGGTATTTTGTTTTTTTGAGACATTTTATTCGCTGAATTTGAATTAAATTTAATTAGTATCAGCTCACAAAAAATTGATTTTATGATAGTTAAATAAACGAGAAAGTAAGGATAGTTTTTGACATTTGATTTATTATTAAAGGTTCCAAGGCGACGACGCTCCGATGAACCTTTTGATGTTGGCGAAGAAACAGCAGTTGATGATACTGTAGTTAAAGATTCTGTGGTTGAATGTCAAAAAATGGCATCATTATTTCTCAGTGGATTCCTAGCTAAGTAAGTTTGTGAAGTACTATTGTTCACCCTAACTAGCGTTTTATTTTGAATTTTTAAGGGAAGTGAAAATTAAGAAATAAGATAATTAAGAGAACTAGATCACTTAATTTTCTTTGCATTAATTTCTCACTTTTGAATGAACACTTGTAGAGATTTGAATTAAAGTTTTTTTGGTTTACCTTACTGTCATTTCGAATTGCAGATGCACAGCCAAATCAGAAGAAGATTATCGACGTTTATTCGACCAGTTTGTGCATGATTTGCTCACTGCTTTGTACAAACCTGAATGGCCTGCTGCTGAAATGCTTTTGACATTACTGGGCAATGTTCTGGTTACTTTCTATCGTTCGAAAAATGTTGATATGTCACTGAGAATTGCCAGGTATTTTTATAAAATCGTGAAATTATAACTCACAGATATTTAAGATTTCTTCTCAAACTCCCAGAAAGTTATTTTTCCCGTGCATAACTTTGTTTTATATTTTCGAATTTCTTTTATCTATTTGCATTTCATTTACAGCTTGGATTATTTGGGTACAGTAACTGCTTCGCTTCGTAAAGATATGCACCAAGCTATTTCCGATGATACTCGGCTAGATGTAGTTGTTAAAACACTTTTGTATGAAGAGCTTGAGGAAGAGGAACAGACTGGCGATATCGATACTATTGATATCAGTCATGTTAGTTTTCCTGTTATACATACAGTCACATCAGTTCTTCCTGAAACATGTGGACATCGTGCCTTTGTATTTTGTAACTCTTGTTATTCCCATCCATTTAGGGTGTTGAGATGGACTTAGAGAGTATCCTTCATTTTACGGCAGCATAGAAAACATATAAGTCAGTGACTTCAAACTTTTTGTGATTCTTAGTATCTAAGTTATTAGTTATTACATCTAGCCAAGTGTAAATTGTGGCTAACTTATTCTAACCGATTTTAAACTCCTACGGAATTTTTTCATCTTAAACATCCTTTACAGATGTCACCAGCAGATAAAATGAAGAAGGTTCAACGAGCCTTGATTGATTATCTCGTTGAAAGAAGAGGTGATGCCGATGTTTCCATCGAGGTATTTGGTTATTGGTTTATATTTTTTTGCATGCAATCAGCAATACTACTATGTCTTATTCTTAGACATTCATAGTTTTCGTAATGATTTCCGTTATGTGCAAATGTTCTTTTATTTAGTTTTTTGACATTTTGTCTGTTTTCTAATTAATTTTTATCTCTAAATATATAGCAACGTCGAAAATTTTAATCTGGAATTTTTAGTACGCGATAATGTTTTATGTGGGTATTTGGTACAAAGAAGTATACGAAGAAGCAGAATCGGCAAAGCAGAAGCTGAAGCAGATCATGAATAGCTCCGAAATAAATGATAAAGAGAAGCGAAAATTTGAAAAGAAATCTGCTAGAGTTAGTGTATTTTTGAGTTTGAATCTTTTTAATAATTTTTATTTAGTTACAGTTTTACTTTGCTTCTAGCTCTATTTTTAAGTATATTGATACTTTTTTAAAATATATTGATTTTTTAAAAATATATTCATCTGTTAAGAGTATTTGTTAATGTCAATAATGGAACCTAGAAAATTTTTTCTTACTGCTGCATATGAATTCAGGTTCTGGAACGATGTCAACTAATGAAGATGTTTCTCATCAAGACTGCCGACAAAAAGCATATGAGGAAACGTGCTGAACAAATTGCGTATGTTTCTTAAACGAATTATTTTAACCGAACAAACTGATGTATTGATTCAAACCATTGCGTATGCAATATTTAATCTTGTTTGTAATTTAAAAAATAAAGCGTGAGTTGCAAGCAGCAAATTTTTTTTTAAAGTTATTTTTAGGTGTCATGATGGCATTGCTTTTTCATTCTGATTCTTTCAGCTTTTTGTAATCTTTCTTAAATAAGTTATAGTGGATTCTATTCTTTTTCTTATTTAGTTTTGATATTCAAACTTTATTCTACATTTTCATCCAAGCTTCACAAAGTAAAAAGCTGATGGAAGCGGAGTTTTCTTACCATTGAAAGTTCATTTAGTTAACTTTTTTGCATTTGGTATGTGCGAATCATTGGTCGTTTTTATGCTCGTGTTTTAGTGTATTACACCACTTTTCAGACGCACTGGTAGTATTTTGATGGATAGTGATGCTTCATGGCTTGTAAGATTCTTAGCTTCAAGTCGGGAATTTAGTCAGTCATTTTCGACATATCTCAACCATGTTAGCATATTTTGAAGAAATTAATGTTTATTAATAACTAAAGGCTGCTAAAGAGGCCATATAATGATTTGAAAAAAAGTGTTTTAGATTTTATATGGTATACATGCGGAACAGGCAGTTGGTTTAAGGACCAAAGCAATGCGGTGTTTAACCTTGATTATTGAAGCAGATCATGCAGTTTTAAAAATTGTAGGCTTTTTTTTTATCTTAGAAGTACTAGAAGATTTTTTGAAAGAAAAAGGAAGATTCTATCCCAAGAGTTTTGTGGATTTGGTGACTTTAGATAATTCCAAAAATTTTCACGATTTTAAATTACTTATATATTTTAATGTGCGACTGTTTATACATATTTTAATACAGTATACTTTGTGAGAGTAAGTACATTTGAAGAGCAATCAATGCATTTTTTCAGCCCGAGGTACGCAAAGCAGTTCAGGCAAGAATGATGGATCCGAATGCGGCAGTTCGTGAAGCGACCATTGAACTCATTGGGAAGTATTTGATTGCGAAACCTGAATATGTCCCGCAATATTATCCATTATTAATTGAACGTATCAAGGTACTGGTTCAAACAAAGTTTTAAATTTACCTTCTATTAGTATTATTTGTAGTTTCGGAATAATGCTTTCTGTTTGTGCTGAAGTCGAGTCGTTTTTATTTCATTTTTCAATTTAGGATTCTGGTGTAGCAGTTCGGAAACGTATAATACGTATACTGCGCGAGATATGCGAGAAACAGCCTGATTATGAAAAAGTGCCAGAAATGTTGGCACGGATCGTGCGACGTATATCGGATGAAGAAGGAGTAAAAAAGCTAACTATTGATACAATGCAAAGCTTGTTGTTTCAACCCGCTCGTGAACGAGATTCTATTCAACTAATCAATAAGTTATGGTTTATCTTCTATCTATTATGAAGTTTCTGATAGGTGTTTCAAGAAAAAAGCAAAGAAATGAGCGGCAAAAAGATTTTTTGTTCTTTTTTTCGATTTACCTTTGGATGCCTTTTCGTCATTTTTAGGTAATGACATTAACAGATATGGTTCAAATATGTATCAAGGAAAATACATTGGATTTCTTCGAACAACTACTAAATAGTTTACTGAAAAACAATGATCGAGCATTGTTATTTGCTTCACGACAGATTGTGGATACATTAGTAGACAATGTCCTTACGTTGGATTCTAAAATGGCTTCAGGTAATTCAGATTTTAGGAGTTTTATTTCGAAGAACTGAACACGGTTAATTTCATTTTAGCTTTGCATTTTGAATACTTTTTTAGTTTAAAAGGTGTACAAAATAGCCCTTACATATTTCTTTTTAAATTGCTCAATTAGTTAACTTTAGAAAGTGCAAATTGGTTTTCTCTATTACTTAAGGTGGTGGTGAAGTAATGAATAATGGCGAAGAAAGCACTTCATTGAATGCAGCAGCCGCTCACAAGGAACATCAAGAACGAATGCTGGCTTGCCTATCCACTCTATCACTGTTCAGCAAAGCAAAACCAGATCTGATGGTTAAACATGCCGAAACACTGCAGCCATATTTATCAATGAATATGAATGGACCAGCAGAGCAGCAAGTTATGAATCAGGTGCTATTGTTTGCACAATTTTCATGAAATAACTGTTTAAATCGATTTGGAAGATTGAGAATTCAAGTTTTCAAGAATTTCTCTTAAGCTTGAGACAATTTTTATCAAATCCGAATATTTTCAATAATTTCATTCTTAATTTTGCTTGCAGTTATTATTATATGCGATATATATTGTTAAAGGTTGTCAATATGTTGGAAAGAGTGGTTCCATTGATGGATCATCCATCAGAATCATTCCTCAAAACGCTCGATGAAAGCTTATATCAACTAGTGAAAGATGGTGGTATGCGTATCATTGCTTCATCATTAGCCTGTAATGCAGCTATATACAATAAATGGAAAAAACGAACTCCGGCAGTTATTGAAACATTTTTCAAGTATTTGAGTAAGTTTGTGCTTCCCATAAAATTGTAATAAAAATCTTTTGTATGTTTTCTCCAATTTAAAAATAAAGTGTTCTGCATGGTATTTCATATTTTAATGTAAAGTCATTGTCTAGATTTTAAATTGATGTAAAGCGATATAATTCATAATTGACATACCAAATTAATAAATTGTATGTTTGCAGAATACTTACATCAAATAAAGGAGGATGTACTGCGAAAACAAAGCCCTGGTATTTTACCAGTAAAGAAACCAATGGTCCTAAGGTGAAAAATTCTCCCATTTAATGATCTTTATTAATTTACTACTAGCTGTTATTATTAGTTTTGTGATTACTTTCCGTTTTTGATTTAGTTATATTTTAAGTTATATCATTTTACGATTTCAGACTGAATTTTGAACATATTAATTTTTCTTAGGTCGTTGTTTTCTATCGGATTGATGTCACGCTATTTCGATTTGGATGGAATTTTGGAAAATAATGAAGAAGCGAAAAAATTTCTAGATGCAAATGCAGCATTGCCACCATCCGCTTCATCAACGGAAGTAAATGAAGAGCATGATGAGGAAGAAAAACAATCTTCAAAACCGAATCTCTTTGTTGAAATGATTTTCCAAGTTTTGATAACATTCTGCAGATATCGTGATGGTGACATCCGACTAAAGGCTTTGAATTCCATTGGTTAGTAGTGTTACTTATTGACTGAAAAATCAAGAAGTCCGCAAAATTTACAACATTTGATTCATTTTTTCTGGAAAAATTTTTTAAATTGTATTTTTAGGAAATTTCACAGCAACTAATTCCGAATACCTGACACGAACGGAACTGAGAAATATGTATATGACATTGCTGGGAACTGATGATAAAGAGTATTTGGGCTTGAAAATACAAACTCTGAAGAATTTAGAATTGTTTTTGAGTGCTGAAGAAACAAAAATGGTCAAAAATAACAATGAATGTAGGTTTCTTTTATAAAAATCGAAATAAAATTCAGAAAAATAATGTATTTGAATTTCATCCTTTTTATAAAAAAAATGAATTTCATCCTTTTTACATTCTTTCATAGTAAATTATTTGATGTTATTTTGATATTTAGTTTATCTTTGTGTTAGTAGTTCTTTTGTGGCTTAGAAATTATCGCACTTTTGGATAGTGTTTTGGATAGTATTTTATATTTTTTATACTGTATTTTGGATGGATTTTCTTTTTTTCGTTACTTATCCAGGGTAGGGTCACTTTCTACTAATTATCACGTTCAAGCATTCTGTAAACCGTTTATTAAGAAGCTCAAACCAAGTATTTTAAATACTGGTAGTCCAACGAGGATCAGATAACATTTGCCCAAAAAATACTTTTATTTTTTACAAATATCAGTTTATTAGTTTTATTTATTCAAGAATGACTTTTTCCATCTTATGCCACATTACAAATATATGGCTATAGGGCATATATCAAAAGAAGAACATGATTTGAAAGAGATGGAATTGGCGAATTCCGGATTAGCTTCAGCGATCATACAGCTTTATTGGAACGCAGTGCTGAATTCATATTACAATTCAAGTGATGCTGTACGAACTGCTGCTGTTCAGGTAATTATGAACTCCATCATTTTTGTGATATTTTGAAGGTGCGATTTATGATGTCGATTTTTTTGGGATAGTTTATCAGCATTAAAAAAATGAAGATTCAAATGGATTCAAAAGCTTTCTTTGAAAATTCTGTATCTCGGTGATGAAAATTTTGCAGGTTGCAATTCTAACCCTCAGTCAGGGATTAGTGACACCAGGTTCATCAATTCCAACGTTGATCGCTATGTCCACTGATCGAAACACTCTTGTTCGGAATAAAGTAGAGAATATATTGAGGGATATCGATTCAAAATATGCTGGCATGGTTCCGGTTGGTACCTTCGTCACTCTTTTTTCCATTTTCTCCTAAATCTTTACTTACTGGTATTGGCTTGGAAAAAATTGATAGTATTTTTCTTCAAGTTAGCTAAGTGTTTTGCGTTCTTTTTGATAAGATATTATTATGTTAGTAACTATGATCCATTGCTTCTTGAAAATTTTAACTAATATGGTTTCTTCTAGAAAATATGCCTTTGGATTTTTAAACTTTGAAAAAGTTGCAGAGTAAGGCGGTAGCAGGTATACGTTGCTCATTCCGTTTACATATGATCATAAAAAACGATCCGGAATCTGTCCTTCGTGGTATTCGAGCCTGTGATCAGACAGGTAATTGTTTTATTTGAAAAATTTGAGTTTTTCTAACCACTAGAACATTTCTTCTAGCATATTAGAGGAAAAGCGCTTTGTTTTTTTTTTTGAATATCTCATTTTTAGGTTCAAGTGACAGTCTCAAATTGGTAAATGGAATACCGAAAATGACGAATGATGGACAGGCATTATTGAGTGGGCTGTATCAAAATCTTCGTGGTAATCGGCAACAGCGAAGAAGCTTTTTGTCTTCTATTCTTCGATTGTTTTCCGAAGATTCTCGAGAGGTTACTTCAAAAAATTTCTAATTTTGAAAGACACACAGATGCCTTTTTTACCTTGTCAATACATTGCAGAAATTGACATTGGAAGAGTGGTTATTTGTTGCGGATAATTTGGCAATGTTTCCGTATCAGGTGATAGATGAACCGTTATATGTTATCCGACGAATAGAATCCATCGTTTCCATTAGCGGACAAAACATAATCAACAATTTCATGGGTCAACTTCTTCCTCGACCAAGCAATGTAGAAAATGATGATGAAGCTGAATATACACCGGAACTTATTTACAGTTAGTTTCAATTCCATATTATTATTCCATGTTATTTGTCATTGCTATTACTCTATTGTTCTATAGTTATTAACATCTCATTATTGCAACTAGTCGCACTTTTCATTTCATGGCTGTTTATCTAATTCACTTTTCTTTTGAAATTGGTGAGATCATCATCAATTTCTCTCTTGATTCTCTATAGACAAATTTCGTAAAGTTATTGAGTTTCAACAGTTTTTTTTCTATAATACGCACAGCTGAGTCATATATGCACAAAACAGAACGAGATTTGATTGCCTTTGGAGGTAAATGAAGGGTGAAAAATAAACAAAAATTAGTGGCAGTTAACAAAAATTAGAATATCGGAATCAAAATTCGGAATATGACAGTTGAATGCAATTATTCTTCATTTTTTCTTTCTTTCGTTTATGTAGGTCACTGTAATTTCGAACTTCATGCTTATTACAGGACGATTTCCGGAAGATAAGAGTATGCTTCACGAATGTATGAAAAATAGCCAAGCATGCTTCATATTACTTTATTTGAAGAATTTCTTGATGAAGCTTTATGGGTTCAGTGATGCGTAAGTAATTCTAATTGTTCAATCTTGTTGCATAATTTCTTTCCAATGAACTTAGTAGCAAATGGCTCTTGATGATTCTTTTGAACAAATATTATGTGCCATATGCTTATTTTGAGTGGACCGAATAACTCTTTAAAGATTTATCTTTTGCGTTATTTGCTTTTGGACTAGTTTATTCTATCATATGAACTACTTCTCTGACAAATTTAGGCAATAATTAAAACGATATGCTGTTTTCACTTTCTCTTTTCAAGCCATTTTGCCAAAATTTCTTATTTTCCTTAGAAAAGTACAAGAGTATAGTCCATCAGAAGCAGCTAAAGTTTATGAAAAAGCTGTTAGCAGTCGACGTAATATGTTGATGTTCAATCCACACTCAGCGCTTGAAGAACTTCGTCCGGAAACAGCTTTAAAACGTAACACGGTCAACGGTCATATCGAAATGGCTAACCAAATTGTGGCTGTAAGTTCTTTGTAATGATATTATTTTTGTTAATTTTCAGTCGCAAAAATTTAGAAATTTTTTTTAATAAATTTTCTTTACTCTTTAGTTCCGAAACATGCTGCTTTCGTTGGATCGGGATAACGGTGATGAGCATGATGGAATAGATGCTGCAAGACTTATGGAAACAGCAGCATCAAAAGATCCTATTAATGTTCTAATGGAAGATGAGGATCAGGATATGCATATGGCTGATAGTATTTCCGAAGCTACCAATTGTAGTGAAGCTGATGCTAGATCCGCCTGAAGAAATTCTTCAGCTATACATTTGTTTAATCCCTTTGGAGTGGCGAGATTTTGTGACTTTTTGTCTATTATTTGCCTAAATTGTGCGTTATTATTTGATACATCTAAGAAATTATTCTCAGGAAGTAGGGTATATTTGTCCACAGATTTTTATTTCTTTTTTTTTTGAGAAACTTGTAAAATTATTCTGCTGGAATCGTTTTTCGTTTTAAATTCCTCCAGTGAGTTTTGTTATTATTTGCCTGTTATCTATCATGAAATTATTCTTTTTATATTTTTAAATACCTTTCCTAGAGTTTTATTGAGAGGTGATAGTCATGACATTATTTAGAGTCTCGGGGAATACCGTTCTACGTTAAAATCCTTGAGATCTTTAATTTAATTTATTGAATATGTTCGAGTACTTTGATATAGGCTATCCTTATGAAGAAGAAACGTTAGCTCGAAGAAATTTAAACTTTTAATGGCCTGCTTTGACCTAGCAAAAGGAAAAAATGGAAGCCTTTCAGGTATATTTGACTGTGACAAACCAGGATTGGTATCTTTCTCTCTTCCATAGAATTGTAGATTATTGAATACTGTTTTGAACCATTTATCTTAAAGCCATTGAATAAGAGTTCAAATACCGTATGTAGGACTAAATGAAGCGTCTCGTTATATGAAACACAAAACTGAAATGATAGGAAAATAGAAATTGTATAATAGAGCATTTATCATTGAAAAGCAATCACCGAAATGGTATGAAAGCATCACATCCGTCGTCGAGATCCTACAGTTAGACCGGTGGCGTTAGTGTCGTACATGGCATTGGTAACTGAGATGTTATTGAAGGTCTGTACCCCATACGATGCTGGAAATCTCCATAGATCACAACTCTTAAGATTGCATTAAATCCTGTGTGTTTTAGATACTCATTTATGTTTAGTTCAAAAGATTTTCTAATCCCGTCTTTCTTTGTATTGTTTTTCGGTGCCCGGTTGCTGACATTATTATCAAAAAAAAATTTTTTTTTTCTTTAATTCCCTGCTCTGGTTTCATTCTTCCGTTCTAAATTCCGAAAATATTTCAACCTCCTCCACCCGATATAACAAACGAATCAAGGGAATTAAACTTTCGCCTTCCATACATAGTCACATTTATTATCTCTTTATGAATCGGGCATTATTCTCTGTTTTAAATCGTGCTGTGCTAAACCATTATTGTTAATCTAGAGCAGCTTCCTTGGAAAAAAATTTTTAGAAACATTTTGTCATCATTGATTTATGTTGTAAAATTGAGAAAACCTTTCTTTGTGTAAAGCAATAATCATTTTGATTAAAAACATTTAACATATTTACAGAATCAGTACTCCTCACGTTTTTTCATACACTTTAGCCAAAAGAAAGTTGAGATTACTTAAAAGCTGACAAGTCGAGACTTTGTGGAATAACGCTTGGTACATGAATTTTTAATATTTAAGTATAGAATGAGTAATTTTCGGAAATATAACATCAACAAAAAAGACTAATTTATAGCACTAATATCGACATGTCAATCTTGAAGAAATTACCAACATTTTTATCGCAAACAACACTTACATAACACTGAAATCGGTAAGGTCTTCGTAATAACACTTGTTGCTATGCTCTGCTGACACCGATTGCTGCGTGTCTGAATCTTGCCTATCGACAGCTTTTGCATCGTTGCATTCTATAGCCGACCCTTCTTTCGATGTCCCTGGGAATTTGAAAACTTTTTTTTTTTCAAAAAAAGGAGAGATTTAATGTCTTGAAGAATAAGCCTTTAAATATGACGACAGAAAAAGAATAGAAGAGAAGGAAATTTCCCTCGAGACCTATTGGGTGAGGACTGCTAACGAAGGGCTATCCAGCAAATCGATAAAAATGTAGTTCAGAGACATAGTGAGACTTATACACAAGGAATCAAGAAAAGGAATGAAACACAAGTTAGAAATTTTAAAAAAAAAAAAAAACTTGTTATAACCTTCTGAAGAATTTCCATGTACACGCTTAATATGTTTTCGTAATTCACTTGCTAGTGGATATGCCTTATTACATAATTCACAGGCAAAATGTCTTCCTTCATGTCGCTTACGATGAACTAACATTAATGTTCTAGTCGTGAAACGTTTGGAACAAATATTACAAGCAAACGGAAGATCTGGCTGAAAAAAAAAAAAATGAGAAGAATGATAAGTACGTCAAGAAACAAGCGCTTAGTAATAAAAAGTGAAATGGATTGACTTATGAATAAGTTGAAATCGAATAAATATGAAGTAGACTTACAGACTGAACTACTTCATACTGTTTAATTTCATCAATCTTTTCCTCTGGATGAATTCGACCTATGTGTCGCATAAGTGACTGCCGTGATGCGAACTTCTTATTACATATTCTGCACGTCTTGTCTAGAAGTGTTAACAGTAACAAACAAAATAGGAAAAGTAAAAATAAATGATGTGCTCAGTGAGAAATAAGCATGTAAATGAAGCAATCACATACCAATTTTAGGTCGTGAAGAAACAGAAAATATTGAACTTGTAGATGAAGAAGGGGAAGCACCATTAACTTTCTTCTGTCGTTTGCTGCGAGATTCGTTCAAACAAAAATATTTATGCCTCTAAAATAACTTAATTGCAAACAATATAAATAGCTAATCAAAAACCTTCCAGGTGGCACAACGAAAGTAAAAACCAAAAAAATTGAAACCATTATCCAGTCCCATTCCTGATCTCAAAGTTTACAGATGAAAAAATCACTATCATTTCAAAAAAGAAACCTTCGTTCCACTTATTTCATTCGTCTAGTATCAAAAATAGTTTAATAAAATGCTCAAATGAGAAGTAATTTTAGTTAGCATAAAACTAACATTTAATTCGACAAAAGTTCCAAACTTCTGCTTGCACTTATTACAGTTATATTTCAAATTTAAAATTTTTTCACCGTTCTCATCGATTCCATGAACCCTACTTCTGTGCGCAACTAATGATTCAAAATTCCTGAAATCCATCCTACTTACTAGTTCTGCTTTCAGACGATTATCATCTATTTAAAAAAACTGCATTGTATGATCCCAATATACATGCTATCATCCTCGCAGCAGAAGCAATACTTTACTGTGATATCTAATCCACAGTCTTAGCAGTGTCCCACAACACGATGCATTGGCTACCGTGGACGACACGATAGTTTGCTAATAAAAAACATGTCATTTTAATAATAAGGTCCTCATTTTTTTTAAAGCTGGTAATCTGCTTAAGAGAAAAACCTTTGAAATACGATACGAATTTTTTCTATTTCCATAACAATTTTTGGGCATTAGTGGTATGATTGTTAAAAAGCTAACCGAAATGATGAAGAGCATCGATTACAAATATGCACAAGTGATAGATCGTGTGTACGTTCATGACGTTGCAAATGATGTTTCAATTTAAAACGTCTGTAGCAATGGCGACATTTGAAAATATAATCCTAAATACAAAATCTTTCTGAAGCAAAAAAGGTGCAGCCAACTTGCTTCAGAATCCCTCGCTCTACGATCTTTAGCTCGTTAACCAATTCTTCCCCGATTTCCCTTATTCGTTTATAGAGAGTGTCAACTGCTTATAAAAAGAACATAAAAAGAAACGGACAAACCTTGTTGGAAAGATGAACTTCATTTACATGATTTCGCATTGTGATCTCATCGTCAAAAACTCGACCGCAAGCAAAACATACAAACATTTGATAATCCTGAAAATTCAATAAAAAATGGAGATTTATTATGATAGATCTTTCAACATAATAACAGGCTAAAAATTGACCGTAATAAGAAATAATACTTAACCTGAGTAATTTTGTCTTTAAATAAACTCATTCGTTTCGTATGTTGCTCACAATATTTCAAGATTTCATCCAATTTCGCATCACTTTCTGCTGTTTCTTCTGATTGCGCTGCTCTAGCTTTTTGAATCTAAAACTAAGTTGCTGGAATAACGGCTATGAAACCATCCTATATGCATTATAAGGATAGTAATAAAAAAGCTAGCTAGGAAAAGTAATTTGAAATGAACCTGAGATGTTTTTGTTTATACCATCATTAAATCAATCCGTTCCCAAATTATTCCCTAAATTTTCATACAAAAATGATTAAAGTAACATTGCTTATAAGGTTCCCACTTACCTGATCAATAACATCCCTCATTGAATCCACGGCAATAAAATATTCCGCTTCTGGATCATCCGTAGCATCGGTAGTAGTAATACTTCCGGTACCATCCAAATCTGGCATATCCTCCACTTTTTCATTAACTTTAGAAATCCATTCTGAATATTGAGCATATCCGTCGATTGCTGTACGCCACCGTTTGTGTTCATTTTTCCGTTCTTCTGTGGTGTCCTGAGCTCGTTTTAACACTGAAAATAAGATACAAACATAAACTCCATGACACCATACACACAAAAAACAAACGTTTCAAGATTTCTAAGTAGTGGTACAAAATATTTGGAATAAAAATGAAACTGCTTTCAATTTCTTTTTAAGAGTCCTAGAGTAATCTATAAACAACCATAGTTTTTCGTAATTTTATTCCTGGAAGAAGTCTTCATTATGCATAATCTCCCTATTTATTGCTTGCTAACCAATTATCAATTAACATATTTTCGCCTTCTCACTGTCTGGTATGAATCATTTATAAAAATGACAAGAACGAAACAATTCCTCAGTTTAAGTCATTTCCGTCCATATATTTTTAAAAAATATGAATACTTCCTTTTTTTTGTTTGAGAAATTATCAAATTTACCCCTTCTAGAAGTACTCGGAATTAAGAATTCGCTTTCTTTTTCGTTGATTGGTTGTAATTCATAAAACGTTTTCTCTTCATTGTTATTTGCTTGCCACGCCATCTCATTAACATCCACTGAAGCAATTTCGCAAGCTTGTAAACGTTTGCGTACTGTTTCTGCTTGCTCAGAACTGTTACTGCCATCCTGAAGAAACAATTAACAGTAAGAAAGCAAAATTTTTAATCAAAATCCGAAAAAATAAAATTCAAAACTTGAAAAGGAGAAAAAACAAATATCCCTTTTTTTTATAACGCGACAATTTAGCTAACAAATACAAAAAAAAAGAAGAAAAAAAAGGGGAAAAAAGGAATTCTGTTGTTGTTGCTAAAAATTATGACAGAAAATCCCGATTGATGATCCCAATTTTTTCGGAATTTCTATACCTCGACCGAAGCTGCCGTTATACCGGAGACCGATTTGATGACGGTCTCCGTGGCATCACTATTACTTGATCCCTCGTCCATTTAACGAGCACTTCCCATACATGTACCATGCAAACTTAATGATTACAACCAATAAACCTATCAAACCAACTTTATGCTACCACTAACAAACGTATGAATATTACGATGAAGAGTCACTATGAAAAACGTTACGGATAATGGTATTTTTCTTATTGTTTGGTTGTTAGATTACTTCGATATATACAGTATCTTCCGGATCAATTCCATAATTGATAACATTGCATTTTTGAAATCAGTCATATTATTTCATCTATCCTGAAGTATTAATGATTGATTAATTAATTAATGTGTGTGATTTGTGTAAGCTTGGCTGCACGTTTACCTAAACTTTTTTTAATAAATTTTCAAACAACAAAGTCAGTTAATGCATTATCTTTTAAATTTTCATAAATCTTTGATTTATGAATAATACCGTTTTTTATTTCCCAACTAAAGAATTCATGATCAATTTTTATCTACTTGTACTTATTTTTTCTCATGAAATTTGAAATGTTTTTCTTTAAATTTAAATTTCGAATTTTAAAATTTCTATAACTGTAAATTGATGATGTTTCTGCGTTGTACCACGCTTTTTATTTGATTTGAATTAAAAATTGCAAAGAAACATCCGACATGCTTCGTTAATGCTACGCTATACATCACACAATCTGTATGTGTGTGTGTGTGTGTATGTGTGTGTGTATGTGTATGTGTATATGTGTATATACATGTATACTCTAATTATACGTTAATTATGATCGATGCAGATATTAATTAATGTATTGAAAACAGTAGGAAGCCATTGAAAGTGTAATAAAAAAAACTAAACTTTGCAGGTATCATACTTTTTATTTATTTGTATATATTTCTCGAAATTTAAATCTTATTTTACGAAATAAATTTTCAAACTTTAATAAAATGAAAGTCTTGGTATATTTTTTTAATAAGGGAAAAAACGATTTGCAAAATTCAATTGTCCGAAAATGTTCAGCAATAAATAAAATATTAGAATACGGAAGTCGTTATCACGTAAACTTCAAAAACAAAAAATGAATTACCAACTTTTGATGTCATTCTAGTATTGCTGTAGCTTAAATCTTTTTAAATTATTAATGTTAGTCATTCAATTACACATTTTTGACATTCAAATTCAAATTTATTGTTATGAATTATAATATTTTAACAACAATTTACATGCTTTTTCTTATTTTTTTTGCTGATGTAACATGGAGCGCCGAACACCGACGTTAAAACTTTCAGAAATAAGTTCTTAAATAATTTTACTTCATGCTTCACTTATTAATTAAACACTGCTAACAGAATTATTTTTAATTAATTTGCCGAAATTACATCTGAAAACATTATTCGACAACATGATCAGCACGGTATGACAATCACCTGTTAGTATGCCGATCATGTTGTCCAAAATACTATTTGGACATTTTTTTTTTTGATTTATTTAGTCTTTTCTAAAACTTACCTGCCCTTTTTTGATTAAAAATTATTTTTAAAAAAATTCCGGCTAAAAATTACTATTTAAAAAGATAAAAAAACTGAAAATGTCCAATTTCTAGAAACAAAATAAACTGGAATCGAATATGAAATAATATCTTTCATCAAATTTGTACTTGTCCTAAAAAAATTAATTCCAATTGTTTTTCTTGTTGTATTTCATATTGAAAATTGTGCTCATTGAAGAAAAAAACGAAAAAATGGTCATATTTAGTTGGAAATTTGATTAATATCATTCGATTAATTCAATTTTTAAATCAAATCATCCTTGCATCAGTTTTGACAGTATTTGTTTCTTATGTTAAAAACATAATGCATTAATTAATCTTTTCAGTGATTATTCTCAAATTAAGAAGAATAAATTTGATCTCCATTAGTTTTTTATCACTTATCGTTCTGATTGTTTATATCGATCAATTGATAAATGAATCAATATTTATGATTGAAGTGGTTCAATATGTATGTTCATGACATGATAAATTAATTAAATTAAAGGTGGAAATTAATATTTGGCTTTAATTTCTAATTGTATAAATTTGTATGCAGTGTTTATGCAAATTACCAAATAAGAAATTTTTTGAGATTTCGAAAAAAAAAATAATAAAGAGAGGAAAATATTATTTGCCACTTTAAGATGTTGATAATTAACTAATAACCATTACCTGTTGCACACATATTTACTTGTTTATTTCAATTATGTTACTATTCTATTTGTTATATTCTAATAATATAATATTATTTAAAAATAATAATAATAACAATATATTATAATAGAATGTAATGTGAGAGATAGGGAAGAAAAAAGAAGAGTTAAGTGATTTCAAGGGTATCAATATGTATTGCAATAAAATGAAAGATAATATCACCTTCTTCTTTTTTTGTTTCAATCACAGTATCTCTGCAATTCATACTGTTTTCCTATTCTTCCCGCTTTACTTCACATTTCTCGGGAATTTATCGGGAGTTTTTAATATATACAGAGAAAAAGAAATCAAACTGGTTTTTTATTTCTCTTTCTTTTTCACTTACACGTCATTTTATTCTATTATTATTATTATTATTAATATTAACCTATGGCGAATGTTATCAAACCTTCTCCAAATTCTATATCGAAGTGTTCTTTCTGTCTTTATTTTTCTCCCGAACTAATATCGGTGTTGACTGTCATGTTAAATATGCCGTAATTATCATATCACCATATCTATTACCAGCAATTATATCACCACATTATTACAAGCAATTATCATATCACCCTATTATTACAAACAATTATCATAGCACCATATTATTACAAACAGACTTGTTGACAACTTCTTAAGACATGTATAACTTTAACAATTTTTTATTATCCATTCATTTTATCCATAGGAAAAGATTTTCACTGAAATATACCTTTAACTTATTTATGGCCACTTAGTAGAAATTTTTACCAATATTAATCGTTTGAATTTTACAAAATTCGAGCTGAAATTTTAAGAAATGAGAAAAGTAATTGATGTCAGTAATTTTGCATAATAAAATTAATGTCCTGGAAGGAAACATATCCATTTGAGAATATCATTAAAAATTTAAATTTCATCCATCAATTTTTTTCGGGTCTCAAGATCAATAAAAAAAGTTTCATAATGTAATTATCATAATTATTGAATGCATTGTAAAATCATTCAAATAGTTTGCAATATATTTACAATCAATTCTTTAAATTTATGAAATAATTCGAATTGCAGGAATGCATTTTATCACCATTTAGTATTGGTTTTGTTAAGATCTGCTGTTCTTAATTAATCATCCCATTTATTATTTTTCCATTATTTTCCTTTTTTCTGTTTGCTGTTTCTTTTTTCATTTCACTTTTTTATGAAAACATAATATTGAGGTATTTGCTTGAAAATTATAGAAAGGAATAAAAGTAAATAGAATTTTTGAAAGAACAAAAAATTCAATTCTATTTCTGGAAAAATAGAAGAAATATCCAAAATCATATTTCGTACTTTTATTCAAAATCATGGAATAATAAAATCTGTAACATTAATTCCAACAATTTTATCACCATTTAGAAGCTGAAAAAAAAAACCGAAAAAAAAAACATTTCTTTTTTAAAAAACAAAATGAGGAAAAAGAAACTTTGATAATTTTCTTTTCTAATAAAACATAAAATATTTGTTTAGACGTTGCATTAAAACAATTACTTTTCTATTTTACTTTCTGAAAAAAAGAAATGAGCAAAAGTGGTGAAGAAAAAAGAGAAAAAATATATAAACGATAGAAAGGATTGAAAATTTCTCATTCATTTTTTTCCATTCATTTCAAATGTTTATTTGCAGAATTTTTTTTTCATTCTTTCTATCGTTTATGCTACCAAAACTGTGCCAAAAAAAAGACTGATTCATTACAACAAGTTTTTCAAGAAATTAACAAATGCCGCAACAATCTGTACTTTTGATATAATTTAAATTCAAATTCAAGCGAACGACGGGAAAAAAAGGAATACAAATATTACAAACTTCGATCATTGTCGTAAAACTTCTCCAAATTATCCCTCATACTGTTAATACATTTCATATCTTTCATTTCTCGTTTTCATGAAAAGTTTTACCCTTTTTTTTTAAAAAAAATATGAACTTTTCCATCGTTGACAAATACAATAAACAATTATAAATCCTTGCAAAAAAAGAAGAAAATAACTATCGTAAATTTATCGTTATGATTTTGAGAAAAAAAAGAGAGCATAAAGTTTTGTGTGAAATTTTAAATTTGGATTTATTCAATAAAGCTTTTTTTTCGGAGTTGTAAAATATATCCCTTCTCTTTCCAAAAAAAATTCATACTAATGCAAGCAGTTTTAAATTTTCGAATATTACTTTAAATTTATTCATGTTAAATAATTTTTTTGATTTAACATTTATAAAATGAACATGAAATTGAAAAGTTTGCATTTTCGAATAGTTTTTACTCCATCGTTTTTATTAGCATAAATGCATTTTAGAAATTACTTGAAATTTTGTTCATGAATTTTCAGTAAATGAAATAACAAATAGCAAGCTTATTGAAGGATGAATGATATTTACGTAAATTTCAAAGAATAATAAATCTTTTCAATTGATCCCAGTTTACGTCTCTTCCATTTCCCATCTGTTTAGGTGTATCAAAAATCTAAAATTTTAGTAAATTGTGCGATTTTTTTCATTCCATGAAATTCAATAATAATACCTTAAATTATAGTCTGAAATAAATGATACCAGTTTAAAACCACTGATTTATCCTTTTTTTTTTCTCTTATCCACTCCACCATTCGGAACCAATTATTTGTATATAATTACATCTATGAGCTCTGTTATTCTAACCGATTATCGCTTTTCGATGTGAATGTCTGTCTATTTCAATCATAGCTAAGAAATTTATTCTCCCTCACAAAGTCTATCCTATCAGTTGGTAATTCGTTTCCAAACTATTGATTAAAAATTAAATGAAAATTTTGAAATAATTTATTACAATATCTATAATTGTTA